ATCAGATAAAGCGTTGTATTCTGCTGCTTGTCTGTCAGCTGACACCCACAGGAAGCAAAGGAAATGATCAGCCACATACATGTCGTTTTTCAAAATGTGTTGTCATATCAGTGTTGTCCATCTTTGCCGGCTGAAACTGGAACCGCATCCAAATGAGGTTTGACCGTGTAAGGCTTGAATTTTACACGTATAAAAGTGACGATGCTGGTGGAGACGAATTTTTTTTTTTTTTTTACTGTTCTGTGTAGCGCTTATTCTGTTTTGTGTAACATTTGATAACAGTTGTGCTGGTTGTTTAGTTTTGTAATAATTTACAGGCTGTTCAGCCATTTATCAAACATAATCTTCAATGTGTCGACACCAATTTCTACAGTCATCGGTGCACACCAACTTCTTCTACTCCAAGGCTAGCGCTGATACGCCTATCGCTCAGAGAAGAATACTGCAGCAAGTACCTGTACCCTCGGCGCAGATGCAAATGATGATTGGACTTAGTGATGTCACTGTTTCACGCCGCAGCCATAATGTGGGCTTTTAATGCATCAATAGAAATATTATTTTTCATTTGCTGTGAGCAAAGATCCTTTTTATCTTGCAGCAAAGACAGTGACTGTGCAGGGTCAGACGGGTACAACTTTCCACATCAAACTTTGTCACTATCATGAGTACAGTGTCTGGGTACGTGTAGTGTACTGGGTGTAGCCATACTTCTCAGTGAGAACTTGACTTTATGAGCTCGGAAAAACATTAATCTGTCTATAACCTGGAGCATCCAGGACTGGAGAGTTCCAGTGTGTGAAACTGATGCTGTTTGAACTGCACTCATCCTCTCAGCTCCAACAAAAATGCCTTCTCTGGCCAATCAAATCATCCGATCATAGTTACTTTAGCCACCGGCATAAGGCTGTGGAAGCATCACATCAAATATTGACATAGTGCTGATGCCGAACAGATGTGCAATATAACAAGGACATCATGTGCAGACCACCTCCTATGCAACCACACATAAATGCACTCACAGCAGGAGGTCCCCAGCCCCCAAAACAGCAGATTAACAGAGCAATCAGTGTAAAGGCTCTTCAGCCGCTCAAGCCCCAGATTTTGATGGTGACCCCCAGAGGTAGTTAAAACTAGAGGCCATGTTAGCCACCCAGGAACGTCTCTTCTGACACGATAGGCCAGGACCGTTATGTACCACATGGTGATCTGCTGCAGCGCAAACTATCACGTTACTTTATCCAGCATCACTGAGCCAGGCAGCGGCTAGCAGCTGGGAACATCTGTGTATATGCTGCCATATATCACACTGTATGAGTGTACAGGGCTTGTAAAGAGTGTGTGTAGGATTAGTGCCAGCTGGCTTTGGTGTGCATGTAATCATATGTATTTTCATCTACATGTCCACTGGTATGTATGATCTGGGCTATAATATAATATAAAGCATGCCTTTGTCCACCGTTTGAGGGATTGAGGGCAGCAGAGCACGGATTAGGGTCTGGATCCAAAGGAAGTTTCCTTCCTGGTCTTTCCTCCTTCCTCTCATGTGACACATAGAGCTTCAGAGCCAACTGGGATAAAAAGGATGCCTTTTTTTCTCAAAGCTCATCCACTTTAAAATACATTATAGCGTTTAAAGTCAGTTTAAAGGCAGTGAATCTAGACAAATCCCCTCTCAGTCACACGAGTCAGTGACAACTGGGACCACAGCCAGTTTCAAGTGAGCTCCATGTGCTGCAAGTACCTCGCTGCTTTTCCTGCACGAATGGTCTGAACACAGGATTTAGAGACTCATTTCTCAAAGCCTGGGAATTTTTTTCCCCTTTCTTCTGTCGACTCCAAAAAATAACTTGAATATAATATATATATATATGTGTATGTACGTATACATATACATATACATACACACATCGATGGTTTGCAGACGATTTCCTGCATGGTTTTAGTGGGTGTTTGTGGGACTGTTGTTGCTTTTGGGTGTGAAGAGCAGCAGGAGATTTACACTTAAAAGTAGATTTTGGGGAGATTTTGTTTTTTAAGGCAGGAAATTGCTGGAACCCTTTTGTTTTGCCGCACACATGTTGGAGTGTTAACCTTTGGAATCTCTCACTCGATGCCGTGTATTTCTAATGTCGCCTGTTGGGGATTTCTTCTAGAGGTCACAAAGTTAAAGTGTGTCTAGCTTTTTTTTGTTTTCTTAGACACAAATTGAAGCCAGCGTGCCATTAACTTTTGTATGATTTGACCCTCTCAAGATCTGCTGTTTACTTAGAGGCAGTGACTCACCCCGTAATTGATTTTAGTAGATTATCATTCAAGCATGGCTGCGTTTGGCTTGGTAGCGACCAGTTTGCTAAAGACACTAAAGTCATTTCCTGAGTAAGTCATAGAAGGTCACGGGGCGGGTGTGTTAATAATCTAATTGGTGGACCACCTCTGAAGAAAGGTCATACACTGCTAAGCAAGAGCATCCAGTAGACCAGAAGCACTAATAGCAGGGACTTTATGGCTTTCTCTGTTATCATGTGGTTTGAAAAGCTTGTAGACCCAGCAAGACTAGCCTCGATCGAAGGATCGTGATAACGCTATGCCACTAATGGTGCTTGGCTTTCATTAAAGGGAGCATCCTCTTCTCATTCAATTTGTAATGAATCAAGATTGTAATCCTGCACGTTGTTGTTGCAGCCGTGGGATATCTCTATTAGCTAATGCACAGCCATAGGCTAATGGAAAACATGGAGCTGTATGCCTCCTGCATAAAATCATCCTCTGGGACAATTATTCAAAAGGCATAAAAGAAGCCCAGTGATTGGGAAAACCTTTTTAATTTTTTGCTTTATAGATTATTTCCTGTTTTAATAATTAGTCATCTGGTACAAACGGTGTCAGATGCCGGAATACGATTTGATTGTTTAGCCTGAGAAAGCTGGTGCCAGGAAATGTTTTATCCGCCTGTTTAGCTGTTAGCATTCACCATGATTACCATTTAGTTTTCTAAGAAAAACACATTCAACTGATGCTTTAGTCTTTGTCTTAACATATTTGATATATATTGGCATTAACACTTACGATACAATATCCAGTATTTGCTAATAATACTTCGTTTTTAACAAAACTTAATGATAGAAAGTGTTTAGGTTTCCATCACATCCCACAGTCCTCTTTTGGATTGAGATCTGGTGACTGTGGAGACCATTTGAGTACCGTGAACTCATCGTCATGTTCAAGAAACCAGTTTAAGATGATTTGAGCTTTGTGACAGGGCGCATGGTGGCCCACTGTGGCCATAAAGGAATGGACACCATCAACAGTGTTGACGATGTGGCATTTAAACAATACTCATTTTGGTACGAGGAGGCAGTAAATGATCCCCCCCACACCATCACACCACCGCCAGCAAGCCTAAACTTCTTCAGATCAGATTCCAGTTTTCTGTTGTTCAATTTTGTGAATTGAAGCTTCATTTTTCCCATTTTTAGCTGACAGGAAGGCCACCCAGATTGTATTCTGTTGATGTCTGATTTTTTTTTTCCTGGTTTTGGCACTGGTATCACCCCCAATAAACGTGGAAAAATTTTATACCATATTCATATCTGTCCATTAAATATGAAGCTATAGTTTAGCATAAGATAACGCTTAGAAACAACTCGACTGTGCTTATATAGGCATAGATTGAGATTTCATAAAGCAGAGGACACAGGGAGCACATCCTTCCAACTAATTAGATGCCTCCAACCCTTCTTGAACTTTTAACCAGTAAAATTCACAAACAGACTTTGATGTATGCAGGCGAAATTGTTCAAAAACACTTAAATAAAACATTAAAAAGTCATGTGAAAGAGCCTTGAAACTGGGAAACTTAGGAGTTTCCCAAGTAATTGTCTTCAAAGCCACATTCATTCATGGTCACAATAGAATTGCAAGTAGTGTAAGTGATGTGAGGTAGCCGAAGGTGAGCAACACTAATTAATTAACATCTTTATTTTCGTTGTGCTTTCATGTTCCCATCTGCTGTCTATTAAAATCATGGCCCTGGGGAGAAAATACCCCTCCCCATCTTTACCTGACCCTCATCACGCTGCTTCAGAATTACATAACTGGGTTAGAAAGTACCTTTTGTGTCACTGCTAAATGCGAATACCATCGACAACAATACTTGGCCGCCCTGAATGCAATTCTTCGGCAAGCTGTCAAATTAAAAGGGGCTTGAGTACTTCCTCTTGAGCCCAGTGACCCTGTTTTATTTTTAATTGGCGCAGAATCCCGACTGTGAGGGGGAAATAACAAGTGGTGGGTTTTTCTTGGTTTTTGGGGGGGTGGGTTGTTTCTTTTCCCTTTAGCAACATGTGAAGCTGCGCATGATTTTTAGATGTGCCACTTTCCTGTTGAGAGATTTACGCTTTCTGCTTTTTGGTTGGCTTAATGAAGCAGGATTTCACAGACTCACTGTGCTCGGGAAGATGTAGAAAATTGAGAAGTAAAGCGTGCGTTGGATGGAAGAGGGATGAAGTTAGAGGGAAAAACAAGAGTGAAACATTGGAAAAGAAAGCAAATCATCTTTTTCTCTTGCATGTTTTGGGTTTTTTTTCTTGCTCAGAGTGGTAAAACACACACAGCTGGAGGGGGTTGGGGTCATGGGCTGTGTTAAATTACCAAATTCACATGAAAGAAACATAATCTGGATTGGTTTTATTAATAGAATTTTCCCCCCGAGCCAAATGGAGAAGGAAGGAGGGAAGGGGCTAAACACTTTCAAGTGGAATAATTAAGACCCTTTGCCTTCTCTTTTTGTCTTTATAAATTAACATGCAGGCTCTTGATATCTGCTGTTCCAGCTGTTCAAGGTCCCACTTTACTGTGTTAGGAGAATAAGCCTTAAAACTGCTTTTACATCTTTGCAGTGAACTGCTAGATTTGATTTAGCAGTCCTGTTTTGCTCCTTTTAGTTGACTTGTTTTCTTTTAAGGTAATGTCTTCTGTGTTTTCTCCATCATGCTTTTCAGTCCCCGAGGATCTGTCCGTGGAGGAGAGGGATGAACTGTCGAACATCAGGCGGAGGAAGAGAGAGCTGCTCGATGACATAGAGGTGTGTGCTTGAATATATACAGTATATTAACTGGATAGACTTAGCTTCATCTCAGCAGCTAAGTTCATTAACTACAACCGTTGTATATTGATTGAAAATCATTTTATTGCCAAATTAAGGACAGTGCTGAATGTATTTGTTGTAATTGCTCACCTGTATTCCCAGTCTTTTTCCGTTGTCTATACGCTGCTGCGGCACTGTGGGCATTTGCATGCTGTATGTAATGCAAATGGGCCTATCTTTGCACACGCAGTTTCCTCATAAGAAAAAAGTTAGTTTTCCACTGCGTACACTTCTTTCTTAGTCCCGTCTCATCCCTTTGCTTTGTCCTGCTTAAGCATAAAGAAAACCAACTGGGGTTTGTATTTTCTCTGTGTTTCTCACAGAGGTTGAAGTTTGAGATAGCAGAGGTGATGACGGAGATCGAACAACTGACATGCGTCGGAGAAAGGTAAGTCAAAATAGTGGAGATGCTTTGTTAAACAGAGATATTGCTATAGTCTTTTTTTTTTTTTACCTTATTATCTTGTTTCATGTGGAAAGGCATGTCTAAGTGTGGAAACAGGTTAATTGTTTTTAGTGTGGATTTAATGGCAGCAGTGTGTCTCAAAGTTACTCCCTATTTGTTATGAGGCTTTCATCGAGCCCTTCTCACTATGGCAGCGATCTGTGGAGATAAATACCAAACCCTTTTCTGGGTTACATTTTAAAAAAACAACAAATCTTCTATAGTGTTGACAGAAACACCCTTAAAATAACACAAACATACAATATTGATTTTGTTCCATGACAGATGATGGTCTACAGCAATAAATAGCAGCAACATTTGATTAGATTTTGCCTCATAGAAGCTATCTCTGTGACTGTGGCTCATTGCCTCTGTCTGAGTTGCGTTTAGGATTTGCATGCAAGTTTTGATGACAGACCAGCATTATGTGACATAACTACATACATAACTACACCTGGCTGTATGAATTATCATACCTATTGTATATTAGAATGGGAATTAAAAAGTTTTTATTGTCATTAAATGTATGATGAAACAAGCGTACAGTCATTTACACAGTAGACATAAAGAAAGTACTTCACATTAAAACTAATAAATAAATAAGATGTGTTTAAAATATGGTGAGGAAGTCAATGTGCTAACAACAAGCGGTCATCCTATGGAGTAACATGAACATGCAAATATTTAAGAACTGCACAATGATTTAAGCAATAATAGACAATATTCTAATATTGCTCATTGCACTTAGCTGTGATATTGTAAAGGAAGGAAATTATCGCAGAATGAAGGAGAGGGGGGGGGGATGTTGGTGGTAGTGGCCAGGTGATTATGGCACTTATGAAGATGCTCTTTCCGAGTCTGTGTGCCCTGTAGCACCTGCAGAGGGGCAACGGTGTTGAACAGGTGAGAGCCAGGATGTGAGGGGGTCCTTTAAAAGCTGGAGGTGAGTAAGCCCTGCAGGGAGGGCGGAGAGCAGCCTTCTGAGCTGTGTCGAAGCCGTCTCCTCTGTGCGTCGGTGCAGCTCCTGGACCTTACCGTGATACAGAGTGTCAGCACGCTCTCTGTGGAGGAGTGTTAAAAGGTCACCAGCAGCTTTTGGTTGTTGTTCCTGAGCACTCTCAAGATGTGACGCTGCCCCTTTACTATGTTTTTAAAAAAGGAATGTTAGCAGCACAGAGGTCACTGCGCTGTTTCCACATGAAGTGAGTGAAAAGTCGACGTTAGGAGGCAGCTCATTTATTGTCTGGGACCAGCTTTGCCATCACTCAGTGTTTGGTTTAGGAAACAAAGCCACTGACTCAGGGTGGATCAAGGAGACCATGTGTAGCCCTACACGTGTAAGAAAACATATCAGAGTGTTGATACAGTGAGTTTATTGTCATGCTAGATGGTGAAAATCATTCATGTTTGGAGTTCTTTTTAGTAAATAAATAAAGTCTCTATATTTACTTTTGTGTTCCAGTAAAACTTCCCAGAGAAACAAACAGATCGCTATGGGCAGGAAGAAATTCAACATGGATCCTAAAAAGGTACTCCGCTGTGTTATTTCTGCGGTTTGCAGTTTTGTCAATGCTCTGAAGCTCTTAGCAAAACCCACCACAGCCTTTAAAGTGTCAGTAGCCTTGAAGCGAGTGTGCCGGACTGAAACGCAATCTCTTCACAGCTGTGAAATCTTGTCGTGATCTATCATCCCACCATGATTTGAGATGAGCAGTCATCCTGCTTTCTCCTCCTCCTCTTCCTCTCCAGGGAATACAGTTCCTGCTGGAGAACGACCTTCTCCAGCACACTCCAGAAGACATCGCTCAGTTCCTCTACAAAGGCGAGGGCCTCAACAAGACCGTCATCGGGGACTACTTAGGCGAGCGGTAAGACAAAGCGTCTATCAGGCCTAGAGAGAAAGTCCTCCTTACAGGAGATTTACACCCCCTCTGTGATTAAAGAAGGAAATTATGGACTGGATTTACTGATTAAAGAGGGGGAACATGATTGACCCCTTTCTAACATAAATCTTGGAGGCAGCGTAGGCGTGTTGGTCTATAAGTCCGCCCAGTGGGACTTATAGCTGGTAATAAAACCATCATCCAGCTTTTTATATCTCAGGTCAGACTGCAGGATAATAAAGAAAGAGACAAGTTGTGACAATGCTGTAACGCAGTAGCTGTCTCAGATAGCTGAAAGACTAGTGAGATGGATGGTGCTATTTTAACCGTATAGAAACACAGGAAGTCCACACCAAGACATGGAAGCTGATAGAAAACGAACAACAAAGAAAACTGTCCACTAATAAACCCTGTTATTTATTACTGAGCCAGGGATTTGGGGGGGTTACCTCCATTTTTTATATACAGTCTGTAGAAAAAAGGCATTAAAGAGTTTTATTCTGTCATTGATATAAAATCTAAAATGCAAATATCGCAAGAAAAATCTGAATCTCAAACATTTCTATGCTCAGCAATGCTCAGCTGCCTGCAACCAAGACCTAACAACAAGCATATGCCCCCAAGGAGCCAATATAAAATACAGGAAATCACATAGCACCGAGCGCAGACTCTGTCAGGTGATGGTGTATCTGCAGGTGGTGAATAAATCCTCAGCTATTTGGACTGGCTGCATTCCTCTGATGCTGTCCCAGCTGGATTTGGTGCTTTGTTTAAACTGCCATTTGAACAAGCTTAATTAAAAGTAGCCTCTTTTATTGCCAGTGTTCAAGCTTATAAATGGATTCTTTTTATTTTCTGTGAGCGCAGAATGTTTAATTGGTGACAGAGCATTTTAAAATAGCTTCAAATAGACTATCTGCTCCACCGCCTGACCCTTTGCCCTTTAGTCCATGCAGGAAATTGCATCACCAACGCGCTGCATTGGCTTACACGAGTAAAGGTGCTGCTTGTGCATCAGCAGACAGATGTAGTCTGACAATAGTAAATCAATGAAACACACGCTGAAAGACAGGGGGGGTTGGGGGGGGCTCTGAAGACTCCTTCTATTACTAACAGGCTTTATTCATGGAGGATCATCAAAGCGGCCATCTACCCACTGGAAATCACACTAAGCACAGGATGGGGGTTTGCACTCAGTAATTATCACTAATTAAGCTTATGCAAGGACCAGGAACCTATCATTACATGCTGAGCAGAGGGGGGGAGGAAGAGAAGGAAAATAGAGACAGAGATGGTGGAAAAGGAAAACAACTAGGAGACGAATTAGTACTATTATTATTATTATTGCACACTGAGGCACGGATAAATGTAACCTTGCATGTAACTCTCACGGGACAGGAGTCCATTTATTTGGCTGTAGATGACAGCCGAGCGTGCACTGTAATCACAAACGAGACCGAGAACTACAAATAAGCAAGAAAAAAAAAAGAAGAAGTCATTCTGAGAGTAATTCAAAGAGTGTTTGTTGTAGGTTTCTTATAAGCCAGCACTTTCAACCCTTCTACAATTTCTTTCCACAAAAAACAAAAAGCTAAGTCTTTAAAATTCCTGGTTTGGTTTCAACAATATACACAATACAGAGACTACACAGGGGTCAGGATCGTGGAGCCCGGTGTACAACAAATATGATCAGAGAAGCCGTGACCGCAGTCTGAGAGCAGCTGCTGACTTTTTCCTCTGAAAACCCTCCAATGGCCAAACAAAACTCTGACAAAGAGGAGCCTGTACGGGTTTGGTCCTTTTTAGCTGTTTTTCATCAGTCAAATGCACCGTTTACCCCCATCCTCCCCTCTGCGGTGGAGAGAAACACACTATTATCCAGCTGTTTCAATTGCTTCCAGACCCTCACAGCGTCTGATATGAGCTGGGGCACAAATATGAAGGGAATGCAACGAAAAAAGGAGTTCGGATTGTGAAACGCCTTCATGGATTAATATGATTTCCCCAACCTGTCTAGGTTTACATAGTTTTCAGGGTTCTTATCGCCATTAAACGTTTTGTATTTTCAAAGAAAATGATTAGCTGTTGAATGATACTGTAAACTTGACTTTTACCTTCTTTGTTTTTTGGGGTTTTATTGCTTTCTCCAGGGACGACTTCAACATCAAGGTGCTTCAGGCTTTTGTGGAGCTGCACGAATTTGCAGACCTAAACCTCGTCCAAGCACTACGGTCAGGGGAGCGATTAACTCAAATATCGAGCAGGAGGGGGGGATAATAATTTCAACAGTTAACTGCATTGTGCGAACCCTACGCCTCGTTATTGCAGGCAGTTCCTGTGGAGTTTCCGCCTGCCCGGCGAGGCGCAGAAGATCGACCGTATGATGGAGGCCTTTGCTTCGCGGTACTGTCAGTGCAACCCTGGAGTTTTCCAGTCGACAGGTCAGAGGCACAACATGTGTGTGGTGTGGTGTAAACCAGTGATTCCCATGTATTCAAGACTTTTCAAATCAAATCTTTCAGATTAATAAACTGTTCTTTTGGCATCATTTTTTTTTTACCCCAGCGGTAAATGAAAGGAAAATGTGAAATCCAACACACAGAAATCATCTAATCTAATGTGCCTGCAGATATACTGCCTGAGTGATGGCCTGTTTTTATTAATGCATTTCAACCATTAAGCCATAAGAGTTGCTGTAACTAAAGCTCAACAAGGATTAACCAGATTAAAGCAAGTTACATTGGAGCTTATGAGTAAAAAACCAATGCATTATTCAGGGAGGCTCAACCTGTCCTGAGTGATACATAGTGTTGTGGTAAACAAAGCCAGCAGCTACATCTGTCAATAAATAATGTAAAAGGTTTCACAGGAACCTTTTGTGTGCTATACCATGGCTGGTGTATGTGGTCCCATTTTAGCATTTGAGCCAATCCAAATGCTGAAAAGTAAAAGTGCTTGGTGATTAAGCTACATGCTTAAAAGCCTCTTTTTGGATACATGAAGTTTTTGTATCATTTACATACTGGACATTCCTGTGGTAGACGTTTCCCCAGCCTGTAACAGAATCTGATGATAGGCAGGTGGGAATTTTTATTATGTGTGTGTGTGTGTGTGTGTGTGACAGTCGGTACGTGTGTGGGTGCACCGGCTCCTGTTCATTGACGTAAACTGCGTATCAAGACTGGGGAAAAACACAACACGACCTCAGGTTTTTAAAAATTCCCACGAGCAAGCGAAACCTGGGTTTCGTCCAGCTCGACAACATGGCATTCGCCTCGCTTCAGCACCTTTTTCCCTGTGGTGAGTTTGGTACAGAGGTCCTCATTTGCAAAGTAGCAGGGAGACAATAGACGGCGCTGGACAGCCAGAGCCAAAGTGTGTCAGTGAGAGGAGACAGACAGACGGGAATGAATGATTCATTTACAGGCAGCCACTGGCCCGTGTGAGTCTGCGAGACTGTAAATGCTTCGTTCCTCTGCAGACACACACGCGCCTCTCTCCCTCTTGTGCACACGCTTTTTAATAAATTGTAATATTCTTTTTTTTATGTAACCAAAATTGATTAAAATCATTAACAGTGATAATTGTATATTAACAGCAGCGATAAATGTGCTCACTGTGCCTGGACATGGGCTTTTTCTAATCCATCGCATCGCGCCCTTTCCATTTCTCTGTCTCAGACACCTGCTATGTGCTGTCGTTCGCCATCATCATGCTGAACACCAGCCTGCATAACCCTAACGTCAGAGACAAGCCCCCCGTGGAGCGCTTTATCTCCATGAACAGGGGGATCAATGAAGGGGGAGATCTGCCAGAGGAGCTTCTCAGGGTGAGGATTTGTCTGTACCAAGTGTGTGGCGCGATGATTTAAATGTGCGATTGCCCTGCTGCACGCACTCCATACAAATGAGACATTTAATTTACTAGCTTCCCCTGAACCACCACTCTCTCTCTATGCAGAATCTTTACGACAGCATCAAAAACGAGCCCTTCAAAATCCCAGAGGACGACGGGAACGATCTGACGCACACCTTCTTCAACCCCGACAGGGAAGGCTGGCTCTTAAAGCTCGGTATGTATGGGGCGCCTCAGAGGTGCAAAATTAACCTTCACCATGGTAGTTCATGTTGGTCATGTTGGTTGCAAACATGTGCTGTATTTTTGTTAATAGATTAGACAGACAGACATCACATAGTGAGGTGCCACAAAAAACTACAAAAATGGTGCCTATGACCAACGAATGACGTTTGCCTGTTACCGCTGTCGCATGCGAGCATGCAAGAATAAATGTTAAGCACCTAGGGTAGACTGACTCGATTAAATATTTCACCAGATTCACTCCAGAATAATTAAAACCTTGGAGAAGCAAAATAATAGCAAATGTAGAGGGCTGGGGTTGATCGTGCTGAAGGTGGAAGCATGGCTGAGAGGATCGATGAGAGGTGGGTAGGCAAGGAGTGGAGAGTCGAGCAGGGAGAGCTGCTGTGGCTGATGGTGTGAGACAGATTTGTGGGCAGCATGAGCTTCAAACACAGGGGAGACTTGGTTGTCAGGCAAGTGAGATCACAAGGAAACAAAGAGCTAGGCAAAACTAAGTTGGCTTTGGCAAAGGGTTTCAAAGGAAATTTGTGGTGCACCTGCAGCATGTCTGTTTTTGTCTTTATCCATCAGCTTGTGACCTCTCCTCTTTGTTTTGTCTACTATTCTCTTGTCCTTTTATAGTAATCTCTGCATTTTCTCTCTTCATCTTCCTGCCATGGTGTTTTTTATCTCTCTTTTTTTTTCCTCCCATGTTTTGGTTCCTCCCTCCCTCTCTCTGACCTCTGTTTCACTCTTCGTTCTGCTATTCCATTTTGCTCTGTGATGGCTGCTCCCTCTTTAAATCTCTGTATTAGGAGGAAGGTAACACTTTGTCTTCATTCCGCCGCTCAATTCATCACAGAGCGCCCTCATTCTGACACTGGCTGCCATTATCTCCTTAGCACAACAGGCCCTTGAACATGCTGACCTGCTCATATAATTGTGTTGTTGTATCATAGCTGTAAATGGGAAAATAAGTGTATAAGCAATGTGATGTGATGGATTATCTTATTTGAAGTTAAGTCAGAGGTCAATGATCTGGCTCATTCTGCGTGGGGATTGGCTGTATTATTCCTCTTGTAGCTACTGAGAAGGCACAAGGGACACAGCTAAGCTCGTGCTTACGAGAGCTCTAATTTTACTCAGTTTTTCTAAGATTTCTTGCCTTTTTCCATACCAAAAAAAGCTGTATCAGCTGTAGCATTAGCTTCAAAACCTGCACACAACGATTAGAATCCTTTCTGCAACTTCACTGAAAGGAAGCATAAAATTATATAACAGCCATGAAAATATCAGCAAGTACCCCAAAAGGTTAGGCCAAATTACTCGTCAATAGAACGTCAATTCTTTGTAGATGCCAGGAATCATCGTGATTCATACCGATTAGCTGAACGGGTCATCTCATGCTCTCTACCACTTCCCTGCACGTCACACATCTCCTGCTCCTCCTGCCAGAACACGCAGTCGTGCTCGGGCTTTAGTGAATGTGGCTGCTTGTGTCTGCACTGTGGGAATGCGTACCTACGGTTGCGTGGCTGGTCATGCAGCGAAACATCAGAGAGAGCCTTTCCCTTTCTTCATTGTCCTCCATTTGTTCCTGCCCTGCAGGCTTTATTACCTCCCGCTCATTCAAGGATTTCTCTGTCCTCTAGCAAATGAGCTGCACTCACTAGACTGTTTTAAATCTTTTGAATTCTTACAGCAGTATATTGGACTCTAATCTAATCACAGCTACATCGACCTCAAATGTTTAAGGAGTTTTAAGGAGCAACGAAGCTCCTTAAAACTCTTGATTTATGTTGTGCTGGTAGTCCCAGGCACAAATAAGGTGAATTAAACAGGGAGGTGTAAATTTAACTCATTGACTTGCCTGAGGGCAGCACAGAGGGTGGCGGTTAGAACTGTTACCTCACAGCTAGAAGGTCTAGGCCATCTGGCCGAGGCCTTTCTGTGTGGAGTTTGTATGTTCTCCGTGTGTGTGTGTGTGTGTGTGTGTGTGTGTGTGTGTGTCTTTGGACATAAAAGTGGGTTAAGTTAATACTAAATTTCCTATTGTTGTCAATGTGTGCAAACAGTTTTCTGTCTCTCTGTGTTAGCTCTGCGACAGGCTGGCGATCTGTCCAGGTTGTACCTGCCTCGTGCCCTATGGCAGCTGGGATTGGCTCCAGCCCATCCATTCATCCACCAACTCAAACTCTTATAGTTTAATCATAGCAACAAATTTTCATAAAAACTACATTTATTTGAGCTTTCTGTAAACAAAACAAACTGATGATGGCTCTGTATATTAAGTGTACATGTGGTTCCCTGGACTGCAGCAGAGTAAAACTTCTGTTTCGTTAACTAGTCCAATAAATCATACTGGGTGTTAGGATGATAATCTGAGTCACGTTATTGATTACATCAGTGACAGCTGCTTTGTGCACGTTTCATCCAGTCAGCAAACAAGTTATTATGAAGATTATATGTTGACATAAGTCCCATTAAGTTTTTATTTTTTATTTTTTGATTACATAGACAAATTGTTTATCATGTTGTTGATGGGGTAATTATCAGGAAATCCAATAATCCCAATAATCCATTTTTTATTCAATGACAGAGCTAGATGGACAGATTGTGGGGAATTCCTTATATTTTGCATTAATGCATTAAAATGTCGCCCTATGACAGCTGGGATAGGCTCCAGCGCTCCCCCGCAACCCTGAAAAGGACAAGCAGGAGCAGATGCATGGATGGATGCATTAAAATGTTTCTAAGACTGTCACTGCAACAATCACAGGCCATTATTTATTTTTTTCTGCTGCTTTCTATTTAAAAAGTGTCAGGCTTTTCTCAAATCGGGTCATGGCGCTGCTTCTCTTAGCTGTCGCATGTATGCGTTCGTATGTGTCTGTGATTCCTCCTGGAGGAGAAACACCTTCATTCCCCTCCAGACCATTGCCCTTGCAGGCATCGGTCTCAAGGGATTGAGGGATAAGGGTCTGATTCGGTCTTATAATGCTGGGAAATGTTGATTAGAACCAGATGTGGAACGTGGAACAAAGCAGGTTAGCTTCCACATACACAAACAGATTCACCTCTTCAGTTTACCCTCATACGCTGTTTGTTTCTCCCTCGCAGGTGGCCGAGTGAAGACGTGGAAGAGGAGGTGGTTTATTCTGACTGACAACTGCCTCTATTACTTTGAATACACAACAGTAAGTAGGCAATTTGGTGTGTGCACGTGTGTGTGTGTCAGGACAGAATTTGACCATTTCATGGTGCACAATGGTGAAGGTGTGCTTTGCCAATTCTTAAAACGTAAAACCTCTAGTGACCGTGAAAACGTATGCACAAGTGGCAAATTTATGCAATTTATATGTAAAAACGACGTATGTTCACACACCGACCTCGATCTATATTTAAATCCACAGAAAATGAAACAGTACTTTTTATTTGAAATATTATAATTAGTCATCATGTAGATGTTACGAGCCTTGGTACCTTCGGTAGTTTATCGGTTAAGTTTAATCAATATTAAACCAGTTGTCCAGGTGGAGTTTGGGAACAAACATGCAGACATACATATAATCAATCATCATGATGCTGGTGTTAAAATAATCTATGCTAAGATAATCAGCTAATTGCACTGCAGTCATGACTTGGTTTTCAATATCGGTGGCCAACTCTCAGCAGAATTGCGAGTAAATATAATCTCTAAAATGTCAGACTGTTCCTTTACGAATGCATCTGTAATAAATTTTCACATTATTTTAAAATATTTAACCCAGGACTGTTTAGTACAGTTTTGTGAATAGATATAGTAGAGACGGATTAAACAAAGGGGCATCAGATTAGTCTGTCACACACACATGCGCGCACACATATTGGCACTGGTCTGTGCCTTCCAGCTTTGCTATTTAACAGATGCAGCCCCCTTGACCTAAATGAACCTCACTCCAGCAATTAACATGAGACATCATAGGAAACATCTGCAAAGTCTGCAACACACATCTGGCCCTGCTAAGCTATAAGCCAAGTGTCTCCCTCAAGCCCGCGACCATGAATCCCTCAGCACATACAAACGCCTTCTGTGGTGGGGGGCATACGCAGAGCCAGCTGTGAGCAGCTCTCCCAGGGCATTTCCTCCCCCCACGCTTTGCCACCTTATTAGAAGGAAGATGACAAGCAGGACATGGGGCTGTTCCTCAAGAGCTCTCCCAACACACACACACACACACACACATCTGGCCCCGCAGACACAATGGGGGGATGGAGAGAGTCGGGTTACATCTCCTTTGGGTGACCAGGATGAATAAAAACCTTCAAAGTGCTTTAATCGAACCTTGATTTTTACTTGGATGCATTCAGACTTAACATAAAGGTAAAAATGGCACCTAAATAGCAAATGTGTTGCATCAAAAACTCTGGGAAAATTTTGTGACACACATATTTTTGAGGTCTTGTTATTTGAAACTGCCTTTAGTAAAACTCCACACTAGAAAACAAAAAGTACTAAATGTCTTCAATATTACCAGTGATGATAAAAGTGTGAAGGTTGTTTGCAATTACATTTTTACAAATTCTTGTTTTGTTTTTTTTAATGAATCATATTCTGTCCCACCAACAAACAAGACAGCCAGCATAGCCTGTATATGAAAGATGGATAATTTAAAAAAAATAAATAAATCACATTTTGGTTTTTGTCATTTTTGGGAGGATCTGGCTCAGAAACACTCATCCAGAAGCATCATGCCCTGCTTTATCATCTATTTTACCATAATGGTTCCATAATTTATAGAATAACATCATATTATATCAATCATACCTGAAACATGCAACTGAGACCATAAACTCACCGGAACGGTGTTTATTGAATTCATAAATCAGGTTAGCAAATAGTTAGTTTCTGTCCAGACTACTTTTTAAAAATTGGAGGCTACATCCATCTTTTTTTATATACAGTCTGTGACTGGGTCATGGCAGCCACAGCACAGCTACAGCATAAGGCTAAAGGTGTCACAGGTGATGTGACAATGATCCAGGCGGATCTTTTGTCACTGTGACTTCATTTGCACATAGATATGATTATTGTAAATGATGTGCATGCAAATGAATAAGTGATACTGAGGACTGTTTTTCTGTGTCTCTTCAGGATAAAGAGCCTCGTGGGATTATACCTCTGGAAAATCTTAGTATCAGAGAAGTGGATGAGCCGAGAAAACCTGTAAGAAACACCTCCTGTCCCTGCGAATAAATCCTCATCTCATTTAAATTTAAATACCTTTGCACTGCCAAAAAAACAACAACACACAAACAATGTGTTCTCGGATTCTTTCATCATGTAAATCAACAGTTTCATGATTTTTCTTTAGAACTGCTTTGAGCTCTACAACCCCAACCATAAAGGTCAGGTAATCAAGGCCTGCAAAACGGAGGCGGATGGACGCGTCGTCGAGGGAAACCACGTGGTGTACAGGATATCTGCCCCCACCCCGGAGGAGAAAGAAGAGTGGATCAAATCCATCAAGTAAGAGACGCTGCGTTAGTGTGGATCCATTTACACTGAGAGGGCACTTAGCCAACGCCTGCCTGCTCCCATGTGGGACTTTCTCATGTCTGACCTTGACTGTGAGAAGCCCACACACACACGCGCACACACATACACGGAGCTGCGAGCTTAATCATAACTATGCTTGAGGCTTGAGTACACACACACATGCAGACTGGTGACTAACTGTGACTCATTTTCTCACACTTCCATGCAGATAACACTCGGAGGTGATGTCTGCTCTGCTGGATAAGCACACTTGCCTTTGATTAGCGTGCAACAAGAAAGGGGGGGGAACACACACACCTGCTCAGACTCGGTGCACTGCTGTACACTTAAAAACATAATGACAGTTTTAATGCATTCCCATCCAAACACTTGTTAAACACAGAGAGGAGTGGAGGTGCTGCTGCAAATTGGACCCACTGGGTAACTTTCGAGCATGCTGGTTATGATCGGCTCTGCTTCAGTGCGATCAATATCGGGCGAAAAATTGTACTGCTGAATCTTCCCCGTGCCCCGATGAGATTTAAAAACCCTTGGTGTGGAGACATGTTTGATGAAAGTGGGGAAAGTTTAAGGGTGAGTTACTGGAATCTTATTTTGGTGAGCATGGCCTGGGGTATGGTTAAATAGACTGAAAACTGCTAATTTTCTTGGTTTGGAAAATTTCACATGGGGGGAGGGGGGGGGACTGCTGGCTTCTCGTGGCTGCACATCATGAAGTCTCCTCCTGTCACTTTGGCAGTGGAATGATTACACATTAGACTCAGCGGGGCAGAGCTGTGCTGCCGCAACCACACTCCGGGGCGGCAGACTGTCCTGTGGTCAGAAGATTTCACACAAGCACGCGATTACACACACACACACTGTCCGGCCCTGATTCAACCTGCAAGGCTGGAAACTACTGTTGTAGAAACTGTTCTGCACTTGCACACATGTCAGCCGTCATGTGGTGGGAAAGCGGCTAATTACTCAGCGTTATTCCCATCAGCAATCTGTGACTCTGCTATAGACGTCCAAGTTAAATACGCTGTGGTTGACGAGCAGCTGCGTTAATGAAAAACTTGAAGTTGTAATTTTTACAATTTTATGGCAGCTCCGTATCACATGTGCGAGGTGAAAGATGCTCATTGTGACAAACCCACACATGATTCGCACTTTAACCCACAGTTCCTCTTTGCTTCGTGAAGTGTTGGAGCTTTTTTTTAGCTCATGCTGACTTTATAGCCCGCAGCTCATTTTGGTTCAGTCTCTCACCTTCACAGCACAGCAGTGCTTAATGCACGCAAAGTTAGCAACTACCTCACTGAAATATTGGACAAGAAAAAATGCACATCAACTTAAAAGCTCATGAACTTGCAGCATGTCTGCTCCATCCTAAAATTCTGTTACTCAATATTTGACTTCCACTGAACTAAGATACACAATTATCAGTCGCACAGATTTCTAGCTCAGCGAGTGTGTTGTTTGTGAAGAACAGCGTTCAGAGGTGTAAGTGCCAGATTTTGGTGCTGATGAACTTGTAGATGGGTGATTTATTTCAACTATACAGACAAAACAGGATGGATAGGATAGAGATATCCAGTTCAAGGTGACAGGAGGGGCTGTAGCCTGCCCCAGCTGTCATGGGGTGAGAGGCAGGGTACATCCCGGAAAAACCATCAGCCTGTCGCAGGGCTGACACAGACAGACTAGATAGAAGCAGTTTTGCTGATATTAAAAATAGGTGTTGTCGTTGTTAAATCTGTTCCTTCCTGTCCTCCACAGAGCAAGCATCAGCAGGGATCCTTTCTACGACATGCTGGCCACCAGGAAGAGGAGGATAGCCAACAAGAAATGATGACTCACCCTCACTTACGTCAAGTGTCAGCAGCATTTCTGTCATCAGAGGAATCCTTGTGTGTATGTGTGTGTGTTTAAGAGTCTCAAAGGCGTCCGATTCATACGTTCTCCGTCAGCCCTGCGGGACATGCAGTAAAACATATGGGACTAACGTGGATCATCCCTACTTCTGCCTGAAGATTTGTCTGCACCTCAGTTCTTGGCTGTTGGGAATTAAAGATTCAAATTCAGTCTGCTACAGGCAAAAAATATAATAAAAAAAGAAGGTAAATTCTCACCACACTAGACGACGATGGAGAACAGCATGAGGACTTCATGTAACTGGAGATAGCCATAGCTGTAATCATTAGTCTTTTCAGCATGCCCTAATGTGAGACTACACCCTGCTGGACACATAAGGTGCTGCAACACATTGGGAGGATTTGAAAGCTGAATGTTCAGCTCCCAGCCACTCAGACCAACTTGTCTGGTCTCAGCGTTTCATTACCTTCACCTCCTTCGACAACTGCCAACAATATTTTGTAGATAATTCGCACCTACAGAAAGCCTCAAGCTCATCAGTCAGCTGGTCTGATTGATGTAGCCTTTAAGTGACTGTACCTGTATATGCAAACATACTCAACATGGGCTCGATTTCCTTTTTAAAGGCAAACCAAGTCGTGTGTAACGAAGCCCGCCAGCAGTAACGCATCATATTAACTCACATAGTGAAGATCCACCTCTGCGATCGTTTTTGTATTTATTTTCTCATCTTTTCACAAAAAAAAAGCAGCCCTCCCCCCGGACTCACATTATGCATGTATAGTATATAATTTACATACTGTTTTGTTTTTTCTGTATTGTGTTCACGTAGTGTGGAAATCATAATGGCTGTAGCCTTTACCCGTTCATTTTCTTTTCATTTTTAGTTTGACAGCTAACAAGTTTACAATAGTGGAAGAGGGTCATTGTGCAGCTTCCCCTCACACTGTTATTACTGAGGTTCAGATAGTATATGTAATATGAAAGAGAATTAGGACAAACCCTTTCAAAATAAGATACTGGAATTTGCTGGAATACGTGTGAATGCTCTAACTGGAATTTTGAGAACCGTTTTCCCCAGACAGATCAAACCGCCCCACAAAGCCAAAACTTTCCTCACGGGCGCAGCTTTCAGCTCTAAGCACAGTTTGGCGTTTGTGCGGGAAAACGGCTCTCGAATACTTTGATGTACACTTTGAATAAAAAATACATGCTGATAAGAAAACAGCTTTTTGCGTGCATGTGAATTCAGCGAGCAGTGCTCGACTCACCAAACTTACCAGGTCTTTGGTTATTTTAAACATGGATACAGTGCTGTGAGAAAATTAGAGTGAGCTGAGCCCAAACAGCTAGAAAAGTGTTTGTATGTAACAAAAACCTGAATACATAGGAGTGTCGTTAGTGGATCTACATTATAATTTAACCGTAGTGGAAGGTTTGCTCAACAAGAGTCTCATACAGTCTAGTCTATATCATACAAAAGCACACAGGGGCTTTAAAAAGCAAAATCCCTGCAACTCATCTCAATCAGCATTTTTTCCCCATTCATTTCAATGCAGCTTGTAAACAAAGTCCAAGACCAAGAACAAATTACAATTTCTGACATTAACAAATGTATTTTAAGGCGTTTACCTTATACAATGTATAAATTCGTACATGCTAAACTTAAAGGTATAACAGCAGTTTTTCTTCCAACTTTTGTCTAGAGTTGAAAAGGAAAAAAAACAAGAACAAAAAAACAACCCAAAGCATATTCATCACTGAATTTGTCCAGAGAATATGCTCAAAATTTGTTCTTCTAAAAACACAAAACAGAAATCTGAGAATCCTGATACAGGATTTGATTTTTTTTTTTTTTTTTTTAACATATAAAAGTAACTGATATTACAGTTCAAAATTAAATTCACAGTATTTTTTGACGCTAGACGACAAACTGTATCTTAAAAAAAAAAGAAAAAAAAAAAGGAAAAAGTGGTCCACCACCATGACAGCAATAGCGTGGTGCTTCTTTTTGTTTTTCGAATGTGGGAGAGAGCGGCATGACAAAACTAATTTCAAAAAACAAAAAACCCCTCTGCATCTGGTGAAGAAAGTTAAAATTACAGAGTGAATCTTAGGCTTCACAAATGGGAACGAAGATGAAAATGAAAGCTGGGAAATGTTCTCAAGTCTTTCCAGGGTTAACATGGAGGTATCAGTCAGCAAAGCTCTGTTCCCACCACTGCACTCATCACCCCCCACCCCACCCTCCCTCCCTCCCTCCCTCCCCTTGCACAAATAACTCCATTAGTTTCACGGCTCCCAGAAAGAAATAAAGTAAAACATTGCAGCTGTGTAGATATGGTGACATCTTAAACTTCCGATGCCTTTCAGTCCTCTCGGGCATCACGTCATTCCCTTTGTTTCGTTCCTCTTCGAAGCAGGTGGATATCTGTGATTGATGTTAACACGTTTTTTTCAAGTCCTGAGTTCCACTGAGCAGCAGTTGAGATGTTTAAGCTCCAGGCTTTGTGTTCATACAAGTATATATTAATATTCTTCATCATAAATGTTCAACAGGTTTCTTTTTAACCGATAGCTAGGAGAAATTACGGCAAATAAATAAGCCCATTTGAGGGGAAAGGGGAAAAAAAAAAAAAAAAAAAAAAAAAAAAAGGGGGGGGGATAGTTTAAATTTTAAAACACTTTACTTAAGGTAAAAATACAATATTATTCCTAATGAAGAAGCACCACGTCAAAAAAGTTGATGTCATTCCTCTGCTGTTGTTAAAATTCGGTTGATGGATCTGAAATGACAAAGATGAGGTCTTAGTGAAGAGAAAGTATTAGTAGCTACATCAACGCTGACCATTTAAAAAGACATCCACTCACAGAGTCAGTATTTCAGGTCACTGGGAAATCCACTGCCGCTGATTTGGCTGTAACCTACAAAACAGGGTTTGATGCTTTAAAATTGGACTAGCTCGTCAGCACCATTTAATTCAGCATTCCTGTGATTTTGGAGACTAAATGAATACCTGGTTGTCCATTGAGATGGCCGTAACTTGAACCGTTTGCCGGTGCGGTATGATCGGAAGGTAGTAGATGGTCACCGCTGCCGTCAGCGTAGTCTGTGCAGCGACGTTTTTCCGATGGAAAACCATTGTCATGTTCAAAGTCTCTGTCAGAGTGGTGTCGCTTGCGGCTCTCCCTTTCCTCGCTGCTTCTGTTTCTGTGGCTCCGAGCTGCGTCTGGGCTGTGCAGTTCGGGATCGCTGTCCTGATGTCTCTTCTTTTTCCTTTTCTTCTTCATTTCCGCAGCTCTGTCTGAATCTCCGTCAGAACTTCTATGGGATGACAGAGAACCAATCACATTGTTTAACAAAACCAAGATCTCAAGCTTTACGGCCAGCCTAAGACAGAAAAAGTGACCCATTATCAATAAAATGATGAAAATTCTTTCCGTTTTTAAGAAAATATTAATACTGATAGTGAGCTTTAACCCCATATTATTTTCAAAAAAAAAATCTAGCTTAAAACAAACAAACATTTCCTTCTGTTTTCATTAAAGGATTGAGAGAAAGATGGCAATACTCACCCACTCTCACGGTGTCTGTCTTTATCCTTTGATTTCTTCTTTTTCTTACTCTTTTTGTGTTTTTTAGTGTGGTGGGCCTCAGAGCTGTCGTCCCTGTCTTTGCTGAGAGTCCTCTTGTGATTTTGATCCTCTTTGTCTGGAGAGGAAAGGCGAGCCCGTGGCGGGGAGCCCTTGAACTTGTTTGTTTCTGGTGCTGTAGAAGGTGAGAAATTTCCTTCCTTTGAGGAGTAATTTTCTCTCTCTTTGCCATTACTCTTATCCTTCATTGCCCAGGAGTCTCTACTATCCTGCAGCCACCTCCGACTGCCACGAGACTCCTCTCGGTGGGAGTAACCATATCCCCTTCGCTCATGGTCAATGTCCTCTCTTGACCGGTAGCGGTAGTAATGGTAATGGTTAGAGCACCTGTCGCGATCACGCTCCCGAGGGTGCTGGAAGGTTCGCTCCCGGTGACGATCGGCCTCCCATTCCCTGTAGTAACGTCCAGAAAGGGGGAAACGATCCCTGTACTGGCGGTGGTGACCGTCTTTGTAGTCCCGTCTGTACCGGTGACGATCGCCGTCGCTTTCTCGTTCGTGACTCCTATCCCTGTAGTGTCTTTCTCTATCTCTGCCAGAGCTAGAGTACAGTCTTTCCCTGTCTCGGGAAGATCGTCTTTCATTGCAACTAGAACTAGGCTTGGACTGATACTGCTCCTTAGTATCCTTACGTCCTTCAGTCCCTGTTGTTGCACATTTATCTTGTGGTAGATCCTTGGCTTCATCCTTGCTTACGCTAACTTTCTGTGGAGCTGCAGAAGCCCCACTGGTGCTTTGAGAGCAGCCCGGCTGAGGGGGTAAGGCTGCAGGGTTGTCATCTTGCCCAGAAGAAGAAAGAGCGGAAGCAGATTCTTTAGCTGCAACAGAAGGGGTAGTTGTAGCAGTAGCTGAGGGTGAAGCGCTAACAGCAGAGGATTCTGTACAGTGAGGCAGGGGTTCAGATGGAGTTTTAGCCCTTGTGACAGGAGTGGAGAAATCCTGGCTTTCATTAGCAGCAGGATGAATGCTCTGAGAAGAACTGGCCTGGGATGAAGCATCTTTGCTGGAAAAATAAAATACAAAAGCAATATGAGCAATGCTTTGTCACACTGGCAGAGAGGAAAGTCAGCACAGTTTTAAGATCACTCCTCTAAACTTAAAAATTTAAATGCATAAAATGGACAGCAGAGCAATAAGTTTTTTTTAGTTCAGTGTTAGGCTTACTTTGGTTGGCTATGGTCTCTGCCTATTCCATTAGCAACAGGAGCCGTAGACGTCAAACTGCCATGATTACTGCCAGAGATCTGATGTGCCCAAAATAAATAAAAGAAATATTAATAATACGTCCCTTTAAGAAAAACAAACAAAAACCCAAACAGACAAGCATTCTAAAAATAAAGACAAGATTTACCTTGTCAGGGCCGCTGTGTCCATTCACTTTGTGATGACCATTGTGGTGCCCATTTTGACTGGATTTGAAGTCTCCATACGTTTGTCCATTTAATCCATTGCCGTGATGGTGCACTCCTGACTCCCCATTGGCGGTTTTGGGAGAATTATCAAAGACATTTCCTGTGTCTTTATTTTCATTAGGATGAGACTTGGATGAACTGCCGTTATCCAGAGTGCCACAGTTCTCTTGGTCTGATTCCTCTGAAGACTCTTGGCTGTACGGCACCAGGAAGGATGCCCCGTTTCCTACAGGGTTGTGATCCCCATTACTGAAAGGCATGCCGCCGACTCGGTTTAGTGGACGCGGAATAAAACGAACGTCTGGTTGGACGTCTGAGGTAGACTGTGAGGAGGACAAAGAGCTGGAGGAGGAGGAGCTGCTGGCGGAGGACGGCTGGCAGTAAGAGGAGGAAGAAGCAGATGGGCGGTTCGGTTTGCTTAGCCCAATTGAAAATGAAAGCTTCTGTCGTTTGTCGCTGTCTGGAATCATTGTGGGCCGGCTTACTGAGTGGGAGATGGAAGCAGAGGAAGCAGAAGTAGCTAGTCCATGGTTTGGTTTCC